TCTCATATTTCTGTCTTGCCCTTCACAATATTATTGTTGTGATGAGGGAAAGGTACACATTGTTAATGATTTCTGTGCCTGTTGTTTTGCCCTCATTCTCCAGAAAGCCCTTTTAAGCCTGTTCTTTGGAATCAGGTTTTGTATGTGCACTCCAAGTGAAAGTTGGGCATTTGCCAGTGAATTCAATGTCAGTGTCAATTGTTAGGGTCCAGGAACCCTTCTGTGAAAGGCAGTTTGGTATAGAAGAAAGAGCGGTGGATTACGGTTCTGGGTCCTTTTTCTTTTTTTTTCAAGGAGTGGCACCTGAGCTAACAACTGTTGCCAATCTTTTTTTTTTTTTTTTTTTTTGCCCTGCTTTATCTCCCCAAACCCCCCCCTGTACATAGTTGTATATCTTAGTTGCCGGTCCTTCTAGTTGTGGGATGTGGGATACCGCCTCAACGTGGCCTGACGAGCGGTGCCATGTCCACGCCCAGGATCCGAACCCTGGGCCGCCGCAGCAGAGCATGCAAACTTAACCACTCGGCCATGGAGCCGGCCCCTGGGTCCTAATTCTGACTCTGCCACTTCCTAGTTTTGTATCCCTTGGCTGTTCACTTAAACCAAATGAGCTCTCATTTCCATATCTGTAAGATGAGGATAATAACAACTGCCCTGCCTGTTACTCAAGATTGTTTTGAGGAACAAATAAAATACTGCAAGTAAAAGTGCTTTTTAAATAGTGCTAAGTAAATGTCAAGTATTTTTTTTATTGTGGCAAAATAGACATGTAAAATTTTAGGTGTACAGTTCAGTGGCATTAAGTACATTCACATTGTGCAACCATCACCACCATCCATCTCTGGAACATTTTTATCTTCCCAAATTGAAACTCTACCCATTAAACAGTAACTCCCCACTCCTCCCTCTTCCCAGCCTCTAACAATCACCATTTTATTTTCTGTCTTTTTGAATTTGACCACTCTAATCCCCTCATAGCCAGCCCTGGTGGTCTAGTGGTTAAGATTCGGCGGTCTCACCACCAAGGCCTGGGTTCATTTCCCGGTCATAGAACCACACCACATGTCTCTCAGTTGTCATACTGTGGCGGCTGTGTGTTGTGATGCTGAAAGCTACAGTACCAGGGAAATACCAGGGAAAAATGTCACCCATGGTGGACAGGTTTCAGCAGAACTTCCAGACTAAGACAGACTAGGAAGAAGGTATGAAAAAACTGGCCATGAAAACCCCACAAATAGAAGCGGAGCATTGTCTGATAGTGCCGAAAGATGAGAGGATGGCTCAAAGAAAACCAGACAGGGTTCCACTCTTCTGCACACAGGGTCATTAGGAGTCAGAATCGACTCAATGGCACTAACAACAACAAGTATCTCATATAAATGGATCATAGAATATTTGTCCTTTTGTGTTGGGCTTATTTCACCTAGCATAACGTTTTCAAGGTTCATCCATGTTGTAGCACGTATCAGATTATCCTTTTCAAGACTGAATAATATTCCATTGTATATATATAGAAACCCTATTTTGTTTAACCATTCAACTGTTACTGGACATTTGGGTTTCCCCCTTTTGGCTATTGTGAATAATGCTGCTATGAATTGGTATACAAATATCTGTTTCAGTCCCTGCTTTCCATTCTTTGGGGTATAAACCAAGTAGTGGAATTCCTGGCTCATATGGTAATTTCATGTTTAATTTTTTGGGGAACTTCTATACTCTTTTCCACAAAGGCTGCACCATTTTACATTCAATGCACAAGGGTTCTAATTTCTCCCACAAACTTTTTCTCTTCCTCACAAACACGTGTTATTTCCACATGCCATCCTAATGGTTCTGAAGTGGTATCTCTTTGTGGTTTGATTTGAATTTCCCTAATGATTAGTGATATTGAGCATCTTTTCTGTGCTTATTGGCCATCTGTTTATCTTCTTTGGAGAAATGCCTATTCAAGTTCTTTGCCCATTTCTTAACTGGGTTGATTGGGTTTGATGTTGTTGTTGAGTTGCAGGTATTCTTTATATACTGTGGATGTTAATCCCTTGTCAGATATATGATTTACAAATATTTTCTCCCATTCCTTGAAAAAAATCCACATTTAAATTTTTATTTATGTACCAGATTCTATAAAAAAAAAAATAGGCTCAATCCTTCACCATGGAACTATAGGAACTGAGAACATTCTCCCAAACAGGCTTGCCCTATATAAACATGATACCAGAGTTTAAAGACCAGATGAGAAATTTTCACTGGCAGGATTTTTTCCTCCAATTTAAGTAATAAAAAAAAATATTTCAAACTTCCCCTACTTACCACTGTCTCGGTAAGATATTTAATTTAGTAGCAAGTTGGAAAGTGATTTTCTCTACCTGCTTACACAATAATTAGGTAGATTAACAGAACTGACAACAGAAAGCTAAGGCTGTAAATGCCTGAGGGGAGAATATAGAGACACTTCCTAAAAATAACACTTCCTGCTTGTGCCTTGCTATTCACCATCCACAAAGGAAAAATGAACAAGCCACATCCCAGCAGAGAATAATCACCCTGTCCAAAGACAAACTGTTTAATTACATAGGCAGAAATAACATTCAAAAAAATATTGAGTACCTTCAGGTCTATCATTCAATCATTTATTTTACCATCTTGATAGACTCAGCTCTGTGTTAGGCTCTGCAGACACAACAATGAATGAGCACACTTCCTGCCCTTAAGGAGTTCTCACTCATGTAGAAAAAAATGACCAAGTAAACAGACAATTAAAATACAATATAGTAAGTACCAGGGAGCTCTAAGGAGTGTTTCCATCGTGGATAATTCACAGCTAACTGCCTACTGCTAGCATCAAGCCTATTGCTAGCATGTGGGGCTTATGAAATCCATTATGAATAAACAATCTTATAAAATGCTAATTACTGTTATTACATTCTTGATATCCTTTTAGTACTAAGAGATAGGGTATACAAACCACATAAGATTTTTTGTCTAAAATTTTTAAAATTTGTTTTCATTATAAAAATAATGCGTTCTTATTGTAGAGAGCGCAAGCCATACAGAATTCACCACAGGTAGCCATCATTAACAGCTGGCTATGTTCTATTTCATCTACGATGCCATTGACTTTAAGATGCATTCTAAATTCGAAGTGATAAAAAGTGGAGAGGGAAAAAAGGATTTGAGTAAGCACTTACAGTCTTGGGTCTATCTGAGCAGAGGGCAGAGGCACCAAGGCAGTACAGAGCAAACTGCACAGGGCTATCAGCAAGACGTCTGGCTTGCACGATTAAAAGAGGATTATATTCATTTTCATACACGTTTTGTACTTCTAGGTGCTGTATATTGCACTAAGAAGTAAGCATTCCAAGATCCCTGGCTCTTATAAGATGCTCCCAAATTTTATGTTCCTCGAGTTGTACTTAGTACCTTATGAGTAAGTTAAGGAATATGATCCTCACCCTTCAGAAGATTTATTCTGTATTCTGTATTACTCAAGTGAACCTTTCCCTGGAAGGAGATAAATCTCTAGTTTTTGGAGCACTGGTCAATAAGTATATATTGGTCCCACACAGACTTAACAGATATGAAAGAGAATACGGCTTTTTTTTTTAAATTCATTGTCCTATATTTATTTTCTCTTATAAAATCCAAGGGGTTTTAAGCAATGAAAAATGTTGGGATGCAACCCGTCTAACTGTCAGGTCTCCTTGTTTCAAAAACATTAAGAAGGTAGCATGGTATAATATAGTACAACAGGAAGACCTGTGAATGGAGACCTAGGTTTCACCCCCAGCTCTACCACTAATTAGATGTGTAATTTTAGATAAATCACTTAACCTCTCTAGACCTCTGTTTCTCATCTCTAATTGCTCTATCTAGTCCATAGGTTATTGTGAAGATCAAAAGAAATCATAAATGTGGAAGCACTTCAAAAAATGCAGCACATAATAAGGTATTATTAATACTTACATTTATTATTAACCTGCAATGCCACTCTTAGACTCAGGCAAGAGGAGCCCCTGCCCTGAGCCCTGTACTTCAGAGGGCCCTGCATCTTACTAACACAAACACTTACAAATTTATTGACTATCTATCAACATGTTCTTAGAAGACACACGACCTCAACTCTGACAATATCAACGACATTCTTTGGAGTGATTCAAAGATTATATACAATATTTTCTGGATCTGACCCAACATGGTCATCTTGATTAAAAACATATCAAATTTGACCTCACAGCCACTCTGGTTAACAATGGAGATGCCATTTAAATGCTGTTAGAGCAGTTAGATTGAATTTAGACAAGATAGGGAGATGCACTAGAATAGTTAAGTGAAACAATAGAGGATCCTCAAATAAATAAGGAAATGTGGCCTATGGTAGAAAATATTTTTTATTTTGTGCTAACCACAGTTATTTGATATGGACCATTGCCTACTATTAATGGTGTTAGCAAAAGTTTACAGAAGACATAAACAGATCTAAGTTTGCCTATTTCAATTTTTGAATAATTTTAAATAACTTTTTAAATTTTTAGAGAAAATGATTTTTCTAAATAGAAAGATACTAAATGTGACTTATACAACAAAAGTGATATTCCAATAAGATAAAAGAACATTGGAACAAGGAAAGAAAACTGTTTGCATGATTATGAAGATGCTCATATATAAAAATATGCCTATAGGGGCCGGCCCCATGGCCAAGTGGTTAAGTTTGTGCACTCTGCTTTGGTAGTCTGGGGTTTCCCAGTTTGGATCCTGGGCACAGATCTACATACCACTCATCAAGCCATGCTGTGGCAGCATCCCACATAGAAGAGATAGAATGACCTACAACTAGGGTATACAACTATGTATTGGGGCTTTGGGAAGAAAAAAAAAAAAGAGGAAGATTGGCAACAGATGTTAGCTCAGGGCCAACTTCTTCACAAAAAAAAAAAAAAGCATACTTAAAAAATATATATATATATATTACACACATATATATAGATATATACATGCTATTTTCTGTGCATTCTAGATAGAGGTATGGTCTCCTATGATGGGAAATTTGAAAAAATTGAACCACATATTTTTCTTGTTGTTTTTCTTTATGATATCTAAGCATTGAAAATATTGAAAGAACTTAACACTGTATGGATATAGATATTGCTTAAAGGCTGGTGGGGAAACAATCACAATGCAAATTGTAGAATTTATTCGATAAAATTAAAATTTTGTATTATTTTCTGTGGTAATGATCATTATTGCAATCCCATTAAAATGTTTGAAATTAATATGTAAAATTCATGGTTCATTTCCAAATATAAATGTTGAGAAATTTTGCTAACAATTCTGGTTGCTACTGCCTCAGCTGAATAAAACTTTTCCAATTTTATTGAAACAAATTTTTAAAACATCTGATATTAAGGAATTATTTTTTCATGTGACAATAGTACTAAGGTTAATTTTTTAGGAAATCCTTTTTTCTAGAGATGCATATTGATATATTCACGGATAGAATGATATCTAGGATTTGCATCAAAATAATTGGGTTTAGAGAGTTGGGGAGTATAGATGAAGCAAGCTCAACCAAGGGTTAACAATTGTTGAAGCTGGATGATAGGTACATGGAGTTTTTTATCCTCTATGTTTGTAAATGTTTGAAATTTTCCGTAATAAAAAGATAAAAAACTAATAAGTACGTTGATTCAAGAAACGTTGTATATCTTGTCATTAGTGTCAACAGAACACAAATTATGTGGATTATAACAATATGATTGGTGATTTACCTGAAAAAAAGAAAAAGAAAACACATAAATATATGATAATTAATGAATTATGTACTTTATCTTATTACTCATCCAAACATCACCAGTCCATCCACAGAATACCCAAATGTACGATAATAATTAAGTTCAGTCATTTTTGCTGTTTAGCTGACTTTCAGTCATATAAAAGCCATTGCTTTATACAATTAAAAATGTTTTGTCATAATAAAGGTATATTTATCAAGGAAGGTGAATGGAATACATTTATTTAATGGTTTTTTAGCTTGATATATAATTTTTAATGATTTAGACGTACATAGTCCTCCACTTGTACTCTTGTCCTAGGTACTGCAAATGTCAGGGACAAGCATGTTCTTAGAATTTCTACTTTATTCTTAATTTTAACAACTAAGACTGTTTGGGAGTGGATACTTAGAATAATGCTTGTCTTCAACTTATAATTGTCTTCCCAAAAATATTTTAGAAAAATACTGTATGATTTTGCAGAACATCACAAATGGGGCTCAGATGTCTCCGAGCACTTTACCCAAGGCAGGAATCATGTGTGTTCATAGTTGTGTTGAAGCTCTGCCCCTCTCCACAGACCAGTGACCAAAACAGCCATCATCTCTTTAGCAAGAATAGATGACATCAAGTTACAATCCTTTCAGGGAAGACCTCAGGGGTGGTTTGAGATAACCGGTCATCCACATCAAGGATGTTCTATAGATGGTTCTGTTTATAACCCCAGCCTCTTGTCCAACACAAATATTAGGCTTTAGGCCAATTTGTGTAGAGAGAGAGTTTGAGATCCCCTATCTTTTATTTGACGGAAACATTTAGCTTCCCATTTCCTTTGCATCCCATCTCCAAACTAGAAAATGAAAAGCAGGCAGAGGGTTAAGATAATTATCTGGACAACAGTTAGTCCAGATAACCAACTAGCAATTAGTTTGTTTTGTTTAAACTATTCATATATTCCTACCCAAAAGTCCTTTTTCTGCTTGAATTAGCTGTGTGATAACTCAAATCTCCACATGGAGCACAATTTTCTGACTCTTGAAGAAACTAGTTATCTCCAATAGAGTACATTCATACCATATCTCTCCAATTCTAAGACACTTTTAAATGTAAGATTGTAGTAACTACTTTTTTAGGAGAAAAAAAGAAAAAGACTAAAATTAATTCCAATTTCAGAAATATTGAAATGGTTGGGGAAGAGAGGAGTATGTATGTCTTAGAATTGAGAAAACCTTAAAATACGATTTTTAAAAGTATACTTTAAAATTAAGAGCATTATTATAATTCTTATGGGAAGCTGCGCGGGAGTAACGAGAGTTAGAGCACAGTGTACATGTGGGTCATTATGTAGGAACAGTGTGGCAGCCCTCAGCTCTGGTCATAAAGGCATGGCCTGAGAGCATGAGGACCTACCAGGAAGGACACCAAGAGTGGGGAAAAGTGGTCTTGAAACAGTCATGGGTCATGCAGGGGTGGGGCCTAAAGACACATTACATCGGAAACTCGCCTATGGCTGGTCCTGCCTCCAAATAATCCTAAATAAACCTACAAGAGGTTGTTAAGGTGAGCCCTCACTTCTGCAACTTCTTCCCTTAGCTTATTGTCAAAACCTAACCACCAGGTGAAGCAGAAGACCTTTCAGTTAGCCTGCTTGAGAAATAGGGCTGAGTGTTCTGCCTCCTGGAACATTTAAAATTGTATGTAGTCACATTTTAGCGTAATGTTAAAATATTTTTAATTCTATGTATTAAGAAATGCAAAATGTTTTGAGACTAAATACCAGAGGGAATAGTCATTAGGTGTTACTGTGTTTACCCAATAATTGACTCCTTTCCTATAAAGGATGAACCTCTGTTTCAGAATGGAAAAATAAATTAAACAGAAAACAAATTCCCTACCGAAAGGTCATATGAGCTCTTTGTAACCAGGAATGAGGTATTACAGCAAGTTTACTGAGCACCTGGTATTTAGTTCAGGTGGCTTGCTTCACTCTGTAAATGCCAATAACTAGCATTTGTAAGTCTCAACTATTATAATGGTCACTTTCATATAATAATCACATCCTGACTCTCTGAAGGGAAAAAACAACACAAAAATTGTGAACACGATGTGACTAAACAGGGAAAATAAAGATCCTTTAACAGTGTGGGAACAGTGTTTGAAAACAGAGGGTAGCAAAGGAGAAGAGGCATTTTGGACCTTGGCAGTTTTGATTCTGTCTTCATCCCTTCCTGAGTCTAGGTGGGTACAAACTGCTACGAAATCTATTTAACGTGTCTGTTTTCCTCATCCCCAACTCCTTCTTTCCAGGTAAGGAGAACACTTTGGTTTTTATGTGTTGTTCTATTTCTTAAGTCCTGGCGAAGAGGATATCAGATGGTAACCAAAGGAATTACCTCCTTCATTCCTTGAGCTCCTACTACATGCCAGGCACTGTGCTGGGCATCGTGGAACCAAAAATGACTACGGTAAAGTCCCTGCTCTTCACTAGCTCTGATGTGGTGGGGAAGAGCGGTCAGAGATTGGGACCAGACAAATAAACTAATCAATAGGCTACTGGGTGTTGATTACAGGTAGAGAGTACCAAACAGGATTATTTCATCAGCCTGTGGTGTCTTGGGTGGGGGAAGATGGGGCAGCAGTGGTGTACTGGAAGGCCTTCCTGGGAAGAAAAGACAGAACTGAAAATCCTAACCAAAGGGTAAGAATCGGCCAGATGAAGTGCAGCAAAGGAATGCACAAGAGCCTTCTTGGCAGAGGGGACAAGGATAAAATTGGCAGAAATTGGCGAGTCATTAGGTGGGGGCTGGGTCAAAAAGAGAAAGATGAGCAGATAGCAGCTGCAGAGGCACAGGCCGAGCAGTCAAAATCAGGTTTCAATCAGCTCTTTCTTCTGTCAGCTTTGCTTTGGCTAATGTCCCCTCCTCTTGATAAGTCATCTCTTCATCCTGACCCAGGTCATGACTTCTAACCTGGTTCCAGTAAAGAACAGGCCAGTAGCTAACTTCACCCTGCTGGGTTTGGCACTTTGGCAAGTCACCATATTTCAAGCTTCCTCCCTGCTCCTCGTCCCTGACATTCATTCCTGTTAAACTCCTTCATTCTGTGCATTTTGCTGCTTGTTTGCCTGGTGTTCCAGATGCCTAACACTCAGTTAAATTAAGCTTACTTTTCTACTTATTGATCTTCCTTTGCTAGAAAGAATACACTTACTCAAAATAAAAGCTCTCTTAGTTTTTGTTTTTGTAATGATTTCCAAAGAAATAGCCAAGAGCCAAGGGCTAAGGGCCAAGAAAGCCAATAATGATAATAGCTATGAAAATGGACTTTTGTTGGTTGCTTCCTCAGCATCTTAGCCCTGCTTTCTCTCCTCCACAGTACTTTTATTTTCATTTCAGGAATCCACCCCTCCCCATGCAGCCCATGTGCTTCCAGAGAAGCTGACCCTCTCCCTGGTTAGTTTAAGCCAACCATCACATTCCATCTTCCTATGCACAGTTTTTGGATTTAAGCAAGTGAATATCAGGATGCTTGCTGGACTGCTGGAAGTCAGGCTCTGTAGACGTGGACGAGGGAACATGTACTTTTTGGACCTATTGGCAGGCATCTTGTGATCATGAGAATTGCTAGCTTTAGGAAAAGCTGGCATTACAGAAGGCAGAGTGGAAAGATGGAAAGAAACTGAGCTCTTAGTGAAATGGCTGAGTCTGTAGTAACTGACGACTTAGAGAAACAGTCCTTAGTGACTCAAACTAACCCAAAGCCTGCCCTACCTCTGAACTTTTCAATTTTATGATCCAGTACATTTCCTTATTGTTTAAAGCAGTTTGAGTTGTGCTTTTTTACTACTGTCAATATAAAATATTCTATGCTATACAGCTACTATTTGTTGAGAGCCTCTATGCACCAAGCATCGTAATGGATGTTCCACAAAGACTAATTCTCACAACCATATTTTTTTCTTTTTAAAAAATTGTGGTAAAACATACATAACATAAAATTTCCCATTTTAACCATTTTTAAGTGTACAATTCAATGGCACAATGTTGTGCAACTATCTCCACTATCTACTTCCAATCACAACCATAGTTTGAGGTGGGCATTAATATCCTCATTTTACCGCAAAGGAAACTGAGACTTACAGAGGTGCATTACCCAAATCAGACCACCAGTTACTGGTACAGCCAGGATTTAAACCCAAGTCTATCTGACTGCAAAGCCCATGTTTTTTTTTACTTCATTATAGTGCCAAATTAAATTACCAAGCAAGGAAACAGGAAATCTTGGTCAAATTACCAGCCCAGGTCCACGACATAGATTAGAACCTTGGGAGGAGCAGGTCCAGCAAACAGGAAACGAGGCAAGGAACATAAAGTGATCAGAATCCAGTCATCAAAGGTAGGACACTAGAGGTTGGAGTCAAGGGGAACAGGGGAAACATTTAGGTTCAAGAAGTCGGGCTTGAAAGGGGGCTCATCAGTGGAGACTTCAGGAAGATCTAGTTGTATTTGCTCACTCTACTGTTTGTAGGTGAACAATCCTTGCCCTGCCCACTTCCCAAAAGGATTCTGACCTGAAGACTAATAACAAACTATATTTTAAAACAAAAATACCCTCAATTTTATGTTAAGCATTCATTAAAATAAGTCTCATAATAAAGTTGATCTGTATCAAGGAGACATACCCTGTGTTGGGACCTGGCCCTTTAAGTGAAGTCTGTAATGACTAGAAAGCTCTATTACCTTCTTGTTAGAACAAGATGGATTCCAAGTAAGGCTCCCTAAAAAAAAAAAAATTACAAGCTTCTATGCTAAAAGCTATCCACCTTTGATGAGTATCACTTAATTGTTTACTTTTTAACTAAGGGTTTTTAACTAGGGTTATTAGAAGTCTAGAGGGTGTTTAATCTGTTGATCTGTTTGTTTTCAAAAGTCTGACTCCTTTCATTTGTGATCCTAGGTAAGTAGTAGCTTGGAGGGTTTTACTTACACAAAAGGATCGGTTCCCTAATTTTCAATTTCCGTAAGTGTAAATTTCTACAGTGTCAGAGGCTGTCTTGAAATGGAGGAGGGGAAGTAATGAGAATGGATTGGGTAAGACTCCTCAATGTTTTCACACTCCAAAACCTGGACCTCCACACCAAGGCCCCTTCTCCCACTGTGTAAAGAACATAAATACTAACATTTTCTCAACAATTATTTTATATGTAAATCTAAATGCTTAATGATTCACTGCACACTGAATAGAAATATGACAAGGGTAGGAGCCCCACAGAGCCAATGTCATTTGACATGGTTGACACATGTATGAGGCGATCACCCTTCTCCCTCTAGAACAGCGCTTGGGGAGTGAATGTCCATCATACATGTGGACAGTCTGTTTGGCAATATAGCTTTTTCAAAAATTAAACATAGAAAACTGAATTTTGTTTCTTTTTTTAAAAAAAGAAATTGCTTTTGTATGTCTTTTTTAATAGACTTCATTTCTTTAGAGCAGTTTTAGGTTTACAGCAAAATTGAGGAGAAAGGACAGATATTTCCCAGATATCCCCTGTCCCTACATATGCATAGCCTCCCCCATCATCAACATTCTCCACCAGAGTGGTACATTTGTTACAAGTGATGAACCTACACCAACAAATCATTATCACTCAAAGTCCCTGGTTTACATTAGGATTCACTCTTGGTGTTGTACATTCTATATGTTTGGACAAATATACAATGACATGAATTCACCATTATAGTACCATACAGAGTAGTTTCACTTCCATAAAAGTCCTCTGTGCTCTGCCTATTCAGCCCTCTCTCCTCCCTAACCCATGGCAACCATGGATCTTTGTACCATCTCCATAGTTTTGCTTTTTCCAAAATGTCATATAGTTAGAATCACACAGTATGTAGTCTTTTCAGATTGGCTTCTTTCACTTAGTAATATGCATTTCTGGTTCCTCCATGTCTTTTCATGGCTTGATAGCTCATTTCTTTTTAGCGTTGAATAATACTCCATTGTCTGGATGTACCATAGTTCATTTTTCCATTTACCTACTGAAGAACATCTTGGTTGCTTCCAAGTTTTGGCAATTATGAACAAAGCTGCTATAAACATCTGTGTTCAGGTTTTTGTGTAGATATAGGTTTTAAATTCCTTTGGGTAAATACCAGGGAGCATGATTGCTGGATCATATGGTAAGAGCATATTTAGTTTTGTAAGAAATCGCCAACTGTCTTCCAAAGTAGCTGTAACCATTTTGCCATTCCCACCAGCAACGAACAAGATTTTCTGTTGCTCCATATGCTCACCAGAATTTGGTGTTGTCATTGTTCTGGATTTTGGCCGTTCTATTAGTGGTGCAGTGGGTCTCCCTATCTTTTCAGTTTTTACCCTTGTCCTCCTCTCCACTCCCACCACTCTTTGCAATAGACTATCTTTTCAGAAGAAGCCATGGAATTGGAGAGCTGTGCAGTAGGTGGCCCAAACTAAGCAACATTAGACAGGCAATAGAGAGAAAGACTAAGAAAGTACTGGCTCATGTCATGTGGGAGCCCTGGGAAAAGGAGTAATCTGGCACTTCTTCAAATCAATATTCTTTAAATAGCTGAGGGCAGAGAGAAATTCATTTTCTATTAATATAAAATGTATAGCTCTTTATGGTTAAAATAAAGAATTTATTATATGCATTGAATATAACAATATTTCTACTTATTTGGAATTGTCTTTCATTTCACATTTTTCATATCACTTATAACTTGAACAGCAATAGTTACTCACCAGGCATAGTGGTAAATTACAGCTACAAAATCTTGCTCAAAATATATTTACAAGTTCTTTGGTTTTTTCTAGTTTATATGTCACAAAAACAGTCCTAACTTTTCTGAAGTTCTTGTTTTTTCTTCATTTTTCTTTTGGAAATTTCTGAGCTAGACAACCTCTTGTAAGACATGCTCATGTCTTTAAAATGTAGAAAATAACCATCCTTACCCCCAAAATAGTGTTAGAAATTTGGGTAGAATTCCAAACTCAAATCCTACCCTACCACTTCTGCTGACCGGCTTACCTGAGGGAGTATGCACACCTGTATCTATGCCCCAACGAGAAATCCAGTACCATTTTATTAGGAAGCAGGTAAATGTGCAAACTTAAAGTGAAGCCTCGGTCAAGGCTGGGTAGAGGCCAGGAGGTCCAAGTGAGACCTTTTGATTTTCCAATCCCAAATCTAAATCCTGTGACCCCTTCAAGTGTGCTTGAGGAGAAAAGAGTAAGAGTGAGGATAAGAATAAGACTCATGTTCTCAGGTATTAATAGGTAAGCATAAGTCCACCTACCTGACCAGGTGCCAGGACAGAGTTGGCCTGCCAGACCCACAGAGTTGGGAACTGAAATGGGAGAGGAGGAGGATTAGGCCTCCTTACCAGAGGTAGCCCACCTACTTCCAACTCCCCCTTGATTTGCTTACTACATGGAGAGAATTATGTGCAAAACCACCCACTGCTCCTAGGGGTAGCAAATGAAAAAGCAGGCATTGGACCTGTAAGAAAGAAAAGTGAGTGTCTTTCAATGTCATGATCCCTCCCTCTAGAGAATGTCCCCAGAGTCTCTGACCAGACTAGTCACTTCTTCCATATGGAGCATCTAACAAGAGGGTAGGTAGAGGCAAAAGCTTGGGTGGAAGTTTCTCCCTTCACGAGCTCTGGCAGAAATGCAGGAAGAGAAGCTGAACAATCCCCATATACCCCATTATTTATTCTCTCTTTAACAACTGGGCTTAATAATCAAACCTTTGTTCATCCAGGATTGTCCAATTGCGAGAGATTAGCAGCTCCCTCAGTTATTACCACCGCTCCTCACCGTAAATCCCTGGGACCCCTGAGAGTTGAGCTGGTCCTCCTAAGAGTTTCTGCAATGGGTTGTAACAGGTTATTAGTCAATTTAACTTCATGGCCACATTGCACCCTAGGCCAAATATTCACTTCCTAGTTTATTTCCCATCTGAAATCATGCCTAGTCATATTGTCCAAAATTGGTCAACAAAATTACTTTTAAAAGTCAAAATGAAACAACAAAGAATGGCTGAAAATGGAACAATGTGAAGCCCTTCCCATTATTAAATTACCAGAGAAATTCAAGTCCAAAATGGGTCCCTCTTCCTACTGTAAACTTTTTGAACTCCAAAGACCTTAAAGTCCAATTACTCTTCTCTCTAGTTTTCTGATCTTTTCAGTCCTTTTCAGAGGATTCTAAGAGTAATCCCCTCACCCTTGCCAGAGATTAATTCAAGAATATGCATAGGGCCCAATTAGGTACAAAGAGACACAAGGAGGTTTTCAGTGGTAGCATCTCCAATGCCTAGATTACATCCAAATCTTCCTTCTTTCTCTTGGTACCCTTCTCACGTTTTGAACACTTTTATTTCCATTTTCCTTTGGAGTGTTTCTGGCCTGGAAGTCCAGTGTTAAATTAAGCTTGGCCTCTGTCGAGTGACATAGGTTCCTCTTCCGTGTGCGAACACAGCATTCCACATTTACACCAGGCAACCCTACAGTCCATGCTGAGAGCCTTGCAGCTGATCTTCCCTGGGTATTTGTCCATCTCCAACAGGATCCCAAGACTTTTTAAACTTTATGACACAGCTGCTGCCACTGTTTCCTGCTCTAGAGCTCCTTAAGTCTATTAACCTTGCTTCCAAGATCCTCTTTTCTTAAATCTATCTTAGCTGGGTTATCACTTTCAACAGATTCCTGAATCTGAACCTTCTGTTGATTCTTCCAAAGGCCATAATCTCAAGACCATAGAGGGGTCTAATATGTCCTCCACTAAAGTCCCACTTCCTTTAGCTTTCAGATTCTCCAGTCCTTGAGTAACTTGTGCTACTTCCTGTATTACTTTCTGCCCTTAATTTCTCTGCTCCTCTTCCATTTCTATCATTCCTACTCCTTTCAAGGAGGCCCAAGTGAGTTTTTAAATTTTAACCTGCTACTTAAATGCATCCAATTCTTCCACAAACACAGATAAACCTCCAACTGCTGTCTTCTTTCTTTCTTATTTTTTCTTTCTAGGCCTATGTGTTTGTTTCCTGACCTTCTCCTTAGACTCTCTCTTGAGAGGCTCCCATAGTGAAACTATGTCAGAATATTCTCCATCTGCCACAAGATCTTCGGTTCAAATATCACTTAAGTAGAGAAATTCTGCACAAGAGGTCTTCCCCCATCAGTTTCAACCTATGTCTGATCTCTACCTATTGTTGTTGTGCCCAACTCCTTCCTCTGGTGCCGTGTTCCCTGTACCTTTCTAATACCATTTATTTTCTAGGCATATTCCCTTACAACAAGAACCATACCTGCTTCCCTACATACATAGTCTGTGTAATTTTGAAAATCATCAAGTAAGGCATGAAATAACACCGACACCAGCAGCAATAAAAATAATGGCTAACACTTTACTGAGCCCCTATATGCAGCAAACACTGTTTAAAGCATTTAAGGTATTAATTTGCTTAATCCTCACAACAATCCTGAGAAATGAGGATCTATTATCGCCCCCATTTTACAGATGCAGAAACTCAAGCACAGAGAGGGTAAGTAATTTGTGGAAGGTCAGACAGCCAGTAAGTGGCTGAGCTCCCTCTTGGTTTTCCATTCTCACTTTTGGCCACACTTCAGTCACCTACCAGTCCTTCCATAATATAATACACCTTTATTTTTTGGCCTAGTCTTCTCTCAATGCTTGGAAATTGAATTCTGCTTTTAAACAGCAAAAATAAAGAGTTACAACTGTCTATCATAGCCCATCCTAAATCTTGAACATAATTAATTTCTTTTAACACTGCTATTCCTCTATTATTCCACAGGGAAAGGTATTAAAGTTCGTTTCCATAATTCTTTAAAGATAACCTCTATTGTGAGTATCATTGGATTGCGTGCTTACCAGGTTTTCCCACATATACATTAAATTTAAATCCTTAGTTGCAAGTTAATTTTCAAGGCCTAACTGATAAAATATTATCTGCGCATGTACTAAAGAATGAATTTTTGCAGCTTAGTGAGATAAGTCATTCATACTCTAACAAGGATATTTTAAACAGAACTGGTTATTCCTTCAGGAAAACCATATTCAGATCAAACTAATTTCCTAAACGACATAAAAAGAGTGAGCAGCTTTGAGGTGCCTTATGTAACTGACTGAGTGCTGATGGCTTAGGACTAGATGATGGAATGACAGAGAAAAGGGAAACTGAATCTTTGAAATGGTAAAAATTATCATTTAAAAAATCACAGTAAATATCACCTGCCAGGTATTAAAATGATTAAAGGGCTTATTTTTTCCACACTTCTATTGTGATAGCCTTTATAAACAAATAATTTTAAGTACACTAACCTGTTAAGCACCAGTAATTAGTTGAGAAAAAAACAAACACAAATGTTCTTGAAGAAAGAGCAAACCCTGAGGGAATTTAGTCCTCTGGAATTATGTGAAGCGTATACTGAAAGTATTCTGGGAGACCCCTACCCCAAAATAACAATCCCCTTTAAATTTTTCTCCTGTTTTCTCTCACACATAATTTCTATGACAGCTAATTGACGGGATTATTTGCTAACACAGGTGGACCTGGCAATGCATAAAACCAGATGTAATATTTTGGGTTTTCACCGGGAGAATTAAGAGTCTGTAATACCTGTGAATGGAAGGGGCACTGGACTGGCAGGCAGTAACTTTGCTACTAAGTAGTTAGGGGACGTGGTTTTGTCACCTCACCTCTTTGAACTTTAGTTTCCCAGTCAAGTATAGAAATGAGAATTAAATGATCTCTAAGGCTGATTCTAACAAATCCCAAGCTCCACAATTTTAAGATGGGTTTGAACACCTTTGCACAAAGAAGTCTCTAACATTTAATCTCAAAACATAAACTAAAAATATGTAGGAGCCAGTGATATGGAGATATGATAATATTTTTCAATATTTCCCAATAGATATTCCATTATTGTTAAACTAGTTTCTCTCTTGCACTCCATTCACCATCATGGCTCCACAACAGGGAGCAGAGCATATGCCATCACAAGAATGAAGAGGATATAGTACATAAGGAAAGCTCCTGATATACAAGAAGGAGAAAAATCCATCTCTTGTAGCCCTGAGAGATGATGGAAAGAAGAAAAGGGGACAAGGAAGAGGTAATCAGACTCAGTATGCTCACCTTCCGTCCCTTCTCATGGTGGCAACTAGAACTGGAGGTACAGAGTTGAAGTATTCATATAGATATGGGGAAATCCAAGAAAATTGGGGATAGTATGCTTCTCTGGGCATCCTGTGAAAGGCTGAGCCCTCTAGGAATTCTGCTTTCAGCTTGACAGCATGTTCAGTATGACATGGGGAGAATAACGCAACATTGATGGAGGGAAGTGGCTCAATAAATGAGCGCAAAGCAAGGCTCCTGGCTCTGCACGGCCTACATGTGGTATTCGGGGAACCTAGAAGTTCCCACACATCTCAGTGAGAAGAGAGAGCGGCACTGTGAGAATCAATGGACCTGCAGGGACCCGGGGTCAGTACAAAGGTTGCAGTGTATAGGGCAAATGGCTCAGGTATGGACTTCTGCAAAGGAACTACAGAGGAACCAGCATGACATCTCAAAAGGACAGAAATGACCAGTTTTACCACTGAGGCTAGCAGTCCTGCTTTCAACCCATACCAGCCACTCCATACCAGAGGACAACACAAGGCCGGGCACGCATGGCTCAGGGCCCTTCCCTGATGCCATGTAAGCCTCTCATCCCTCAGGGCTGCTACCAGCCTACCTGTCACTGTGTGAATTAGAAAAAGGCACTCCCTTTCTCAAGATACGTTACTTCCATCTATCAGAAAATTGTCATAATATATTGGTTTTGTTAGAACAAGGCATCTTACTGCTACACGCCAGAGAACTCTTGTAATAAACCCAGAAACCCAGGATGCCAAAGATGTGAAAGACATCCCATCTATGCCTTAAACAGCAACCCTCGACCCCCATACATAACTTGGAATGAGAGAGAGGTAGAGAAATAAAATCTGACTCAGCATGGTAAAAAAGAAAAGAGATAATGTGGAGACTCAAGGAGGCTAAAAATTACAGAAAATAAACAAGCTATGTTTTCTTTGTACATCTGACTTAAATCTTCAATTCTGCCATACCAAAATGCAAATTTTTTAGGCCCAAGACTTTAACTTTTATTTTTTTGGTATTTCCCACAGCAGCTTACATAGTAACGCAAACACAGGAGGAACCAATAAGTGCTTGCTGAATAAAAAAGTAAATTTTTAGAAAAATCAGAATTAAGGATCCACTTATAATAAGTATAACAGCATGTAATTTTCCTTTTTCCCCCTACATTTATTTGAACCACATCTAAACTTCTACCCATTTGCACCTAGCTAACATCCATAAAAATGTGCAGTTCTTTAGTTATTTTCTAACAGCCCTCCTCCTCAAATATTTTTTTGAGAAGGAAACTTAGATGTAAGTTTCTCCATTTTCAGGACGAAAGAGAGATCATCTCAAAATTATAGAATTTTAAAAAATTGAAGACAGGACTATGTAGTGCAAAATAAGTTCTTATTAAACGGTGGGGGGACCCTGATATCTGGAAAGGTAAAGTATTTTGCCTAGAGTCACATATCAAATCAGGGACTCAAACACCCTACACAATACTGGCTCTCCTTGCCCCTCTCCTTCCTCTCAAAAGACACACTTTTCTCCCTCTCAGCTTTGATTTTATTTAAATCATATTCTGTAACGGTTTAATTATCTACATCAAACCTAAGACAGCAACTGATCAACTCAAGCGAGAGAGAAATCACCCAAAGGTCTGAAAACCAGGAATCAGGTAAACTGCCAGTTTTACCACGTCCACAAAAAGATAAACAAAAGAACGGGAGGAATTGAGAAAGGGTACTTTTTCAGTCATCACAACAGCAGCTAGGGAATAAAAACGCGTTTTCCTTGGGGAGAGATTATGATGAGGGAACCAGATACAGATACAAACGACAATTCCTCCTGGGGTTTTTTCTCTTCCTTTGAGTTTGTGGGATCTAAAAAAAAATTACTTTTAAATCACAATCACAACCTCAACGCATTTACTTCTCTCCTTTTCTCACCTATTATTTCCCGGAACATTTTACATAGACTACGTCTCCAAAAAGTAAACCGACCAAAGGTCTATCGCCTACTGACCAAAAAACCTTTTCAAGACTTAGATGACTCCTTTTAGACGACGGTTAGGAACCGACTCCAAACTTCAGTTATCAAGCTCAAAGCTCCGTAAAGTGGATCTCCAAGGTTTGCACATACCCTCAGCTTGGCTAAAGGGCACAGAATCTCTAGCGCTCCCTACAGCTCAGACTTTGAACCTACCTACCACAGAAAACCAAATTACCAAAGATCGGCTCCCTCGCTCCACTTTTTTTTTTTCTGCTTAAAAAATCGGGTGTGGGGGGGAGGCTCAAACGGCGAACCGAAGGATTAATCACTTCTCCCCATTACATCAGCAGCCCCCACCCTTTCCTCCGAGCACCTCTTCTCCTAGAATCGTCTCTACGCACTAGCGCTCTCTTGGCCCACCCCCTCCTCTATTATATGCCCCGATACCTCCCCATTATCACCCGCCCCACCACACTCCCCTTTTCCACCTTCCCCCTCCTTGGCGGGGGAGGGAGGAAACCCGAGAGAGGAAACAGGGCGTTGAAGGAAGGGACTTCGCGATAAGAGCGGAGGCCCCATTGGCCCGAAGGTTGTACGGTCGCCTCCCATTGGCTGCTTGGCCGGAATCCCCGCCCCCCCGTCTTCCCCGCCCATTCGCCCCTCCCCCCGCCGGCCCGCGGCCCTCCCCCGCGCCCCTGGCCAGCCCCGCGGCGGGGAGGGACCGACTGGGCGAGTGGAGGCTCCGGCGGTGTCCATGGCTCCTCCTGCCACGGAGCAGCAGCAGAAGCAGCGGCGACGGGGCTGAGGAGGAGGAGGAGAAAAGGTTCCTTTAAGGAGGAGGAACGACGACGCCTCTTTTTCCCCCTATCTCCTCCCTTCACACTCATTTCCCCTTCGCCGAGGAGAGAAGGGGGGGAGGAGAGAGAAGAGGCCGAAGAAAGAGAGAAAAAATTCCTCTCAGAAATCTCTTTCAGGGGGTGTGGGGGGAGGAAGAGGAAAAAAAAAAAGAGCCGGGCGCCCCCTGCTCCCTCCCTCCCTCCCTCCTCTCCCTCTCTTCTCCTCCTTCTCCCTTCCTCACCCGCCCGCCCACTCCCCCCGCCGCCGGAGACGCCGCTCGGGAGTCGGCGGGACCGGGGTCTGTCTCCTCAGCCGCCGACGCCGCGCTTCGCCTCGGGAGCCCCAGGCGGGCGGTCGCCCTTTCTTTCTTCCTCTCGCTCTGCCCGTCTTTCTGTCTCTGTCCCTCGCGGCCGCCCCGCCCGGCGGCCTCGGCCTTCCCCGTGCGTCAGGCCCGCCCGCCCGGCCTCGCTCGGGCTCCGGCTGTTTCCGCGGGCCTTTCTCTCGACTCGGGGTCTCGCTCGCCCCCTCCGCCCTTACCATCTCCCCGGGCCCTCGCCCCCTCTCCTCCTCCCCCCTCCCCACCCCCTGCTCCGGCCCGGGAGCTCGCTGTGCGTGTGCGCGCGTGTGTGTGTGTCCCTCCGCCAACGCCGCCACCTCAGCCCGGCAAATGAACTCCGTCCGAGCCGCCAACCGGAGACCCAGGCGAGTGTCGCGGCCGCGCCCGGTGCAGCAACAGCAGCAGCAGCCCCCGCAGCAGCCGCCGCCGCAGCCGCCCCAGCAGCAGCCGCCGCAGCAGCAGCCTCCACCGCCGCCGCAGCAGCAGCAGCCGCCTCCGCCGCCACCGCCGCCTCCGCCGCTGCCCCAGGAGCGGAACAACGCCGGCGAGCGGGGTAAGGCCGCGCTCCCTCCCTGCCGCCCGCCGCCTCGGGCGCCCGGCCGGCTGGGACCCGCGGGGAGGGAGGCCGGGGCGGGTGGGGGCGGCCTGTGCGCTCCGGGGGTGGGAGACGGAGGCAGAGCGGAGGCGGGTCCCCGGTGCCGCAGTGTCAGCCCGGCCCGGCCGGCAGGAAAAGCCGCGGCTTCCCCACTCGCCCGGGCTCCCGCTCAGGCCGCGCTTTGTTTGGTTTCGGGGGCTCGGCATTCTCTACCCCCACCCATCCCTGTGGCTTCTCGGCTCGCTCACGGACCCTGCAGGAGTGTGTTGGTGCCTGGGGGGAAGGCGGAGGGCGCATTTCGCCCCTTTTCTGCTGTCTTCTACGGTTTAGCCTCCCCCTTCCTTATAGAAGGTGGGGGAACGCCTGGGAGTGATCGGCGGTGGGGCTGGCTGGGGAACTTGTTTTCCCCCTGTTCTCTGTTAGCCTCCCCCTTCCTGGGAGGAGGGGGAGAGGGGGAATCCGAGTGGTCTGTGGTGTTGGCCGGGGAACTTGTTTCCCCCGCCCCCCCCTTCCAAGTCACGGGGTAGGGGGAGCCGCGACTCCTCTCCCAACCCCACAATGTTTGCTGCGTAGTTTGGCTTTAGTTACAGAACCCTTGGGAAGGACCTGTTAAATCAAGACCTTTAAATAAATAAATATAGAATCCATCGGCCATTTCCAGCCCCCTCCCTCGCGTGCAGTGCAGTTACCCTTCCGCTCTATCGATACCCCTCTCGCCTGTCCTCCCCTAGCGAACCCTTGCGCCGCCGTGCCACCCTCCATCTCCTGGTGGGGTTTGAACTCCCTTCCTTAGAACAGGCCCCTTGGGGGGAGTGAGTGAGTGTGTGTGTGTGTGTGTCCAAGGCCTAGTGAAATGTGTCATTTGGACCCAACTGTGCGGCTCTGTCTGGTAACCACCATTGTCTAAGGGCTGAGGCTCCCGGGGGTTGGATTCTTGCTTTAGCAAAAATAATATTCAGTTCTGCTTTGATGATGTGGTTATTTTGGGAGGTTTATTAGGTGGGGTGTTGCACCTTGGTCTCCAAACGTAACTATTCTCTTTATTAATTAGCTGCTCTCAGTGGGGGTGGAGGTCAGTACCATATTTATGTGTACGGTTGTTGTTTAAAGGAGGAGGGGAATTGTTAGGAGACATTTTGCGTGTTTTCGTTGGCGGATTAAGGTTAATTTTACATGCGTTGGTTGTCACACCTCCTTTTATTAAGGGAATTGAGATTAGTGCCTTTTAAAAATTATACAGTCTTTCCTTAAACTGTTTCATTGTTGTACTTGATCAAAATACTTAACAAATGAAGGAGGGAAAATAGTTTAAAGGGTTTTCACTAGTCACTGTTACAGATGGTCCTTGAGAAAGCAGTTTGCTATATATTGCTGGAAAGAATGTGATGTTTCGAGCCAGTTAGAGGTCTTGTGCAACATTATTGGTAAACATGTTTTAATGATTCTTTGATACATTTACCGGTTTTTTTGTAAATTAAAAATATTTGTAGTTTCATCATTTCCTTTGACATTTGCATGTTAGGGTTCTCCTGTGTTCCATTCAAATAATATTCAAGTCTCCTTCCAGAATGGATAAGAGTTCACACATTTTTTAAGAAAACCGTAACACTGGATTGAAATCCTAGCGGTAATGATTCTATTGCTAGAAGTCACCTTTTTCAGGATGTACTGATTTGGTAATACATTAGTGCTGAATCAGATCCTTTGAGCCAAACTTAATTTAGTCCCATTGTGTATTTTTAAATGTTTATTCAGAATCTCGTTTTCACGATTTGTGTGTAATTTCACACTTAGTTGAGGTACTTCTATCTTGGACACTTTTCTTTATTTGTTTGAAATTATTAGCTACTAAAGTCTACTTCCTTTCGAAGTAAAGTGACTTGGTTGTTGGCAGTCAAATGCCAAAGTGTCAGTTTCCTTTTCATTGATGTCTGTAAGCTGACTGATGGTGTTCATGAATCAAAATTTCAGTATGTACCTAACCAAAGGGTAAATCAAATCCTCTGTAGAATTGTTGCTTTGCTGCAGCTAGTAGAGACTGTTCTGGAGATTCTGTGTTGGCACAGAGGGGAAAAGAATTGCTGATTAGCCTTCAGGGAAAATGCTATGGGTCTTTTAGAGGGCACATAAATGGCTTCAAAATGAGTAAGACGTTAAGATGAATTAAAAGGCTAAAATAATAAAGATTTTGCTAACTTTATGTAAAAATGTGTCATTCTTCGAAAATTGATGTTCTGATTACATTTTTAAAATGTGCAGGGCACATAATGATCAGAAATTAGCCAAGAAGAATGCTCTTTATCTTAAAAGTTTTATGGAGCACACAAAGTGTCACTATTTCTGGTTTGGATAGGAGAGGTTTTATTGTTATTTGTTTAAGAATATGCTGGGTTTTAGAAGTTTGACAAGGTTATTAAGGAATTACAGCTAACATGTTGCGTGTGTGTGTGTTTTACTTTTTACTAAGTCTTAATGGATGTGTAACTCTTGGATTAGAGTCTTGGATAGAATTACGTAATAGTGGATCAGACAACTTTCCAGGTAGGAAATTGAAGTGAGACTCACTGTTTTAAGACAAGTTAATTCAATCTCTATATAAAGTCTCTTACTTATTTCATATAAAGGATGGACTTCACGCTTTTTAGTGGTAGTAAAATAGCTACAAGATAGTATTTTTTCTCAAGCAAAAATTCTGTCAGAATTGGTTTTTGATTGCTTCTTCGCCCACAAGTTAATTGGTCTAAAAACTTCCTTGATACCTCCTTTAAAAACAGACACACACACTTTCTCTTGTGTGTAGTCGCCACTGTTTGAAGAAGAAACAACCTTATAGAGTGAGCTATTATGACGACTTTTCAAAATCTTCCATGAGGGAGACTTTCTTACACCCTACATTGGGAAATAATTGGCCTGGGCATTTCATGAAGTGCTGTCTTCACTCATGTTATCTGAAATGTTCCACTGTCTTACGATGGAATACTAATCATTAGCATTTGGAGTTTTTTAATTTAAATTTCTGAGTTTAGGATTTCACATGCCACTTGAAACTGGTAGAAAATAATTGGTGTTGCACATAGGGACACTTTGATAATATATTCCAGATTCAGTGAAACTGAAAGTAGTGTGGGGTTGGATTTTTTATATTTGTCTTCTTTTAAAATCCTAAAAGGATTTAGCTTTTGCAACTTGTTCTGCTGAATTTATCTTGATGTCTATCTGGTAGTTGTTTTCTAGAGGAAGCATAAGGAAAGCTTCCAAGTCTACAGAAGTGCTATGTATACTGAGCACTTCTAGTTTTTAGTTGTTAAAATTGATTACTTTGGATAGGTAATGAATGCTCGTGACTTAAAATTCAAAGCTCTTTTTCCTCCACCTGCCTACCAAATTCTCCTGCCTGGAATCAATCACTATTATTAGTTTCTCATTTATTATGTTTTTAATAAAAGATGAAATTTGACTTCTAAGAATAATCTTGAAATGGAAGTTTTTGAAAATAGATGTAATTTTTGTTCTAGTTATTGGAAAATTCATAAGATTGTTTTAAAGTGCTGAAATTTTAACTATATGTGATCATTTATAGTTCAAGAAATTTAATAACTACAATATACTAATGGATTTCGCTACTAATCATATAAAGTAAAAACATAATCAGTCTCTTTAATCCCGTATTTGTGGGATAAAAATCTCACCTATGACCCTAGAATTAAAGGGTTGTTTTTTTTTTTTTTTTAACTGAACTTGGTCAAATAGTTCAGTACATATAGTATTACATAAAAATATTCCTGATGGAGCTACATATTTATGATACGCAGCCAGGAAACTCCTTAGTGTTCTAGCCATGCATGCTA